TGTCGGCCCTGAACATGACTAAGCGAAAATGTTCAGTAGTAATAATAATTTATTGTAACAGATGGACTGTTTTAGGAACAGATTTTGATCATACGAATTTTTGACCATTAAATGGTCTAATAAAAATTTTAAGCATAAAAAGTCGAGTCAAAAAATATGCAAAAATAAAATTGCAGACCATGTCAAAAAAGGCAATATTGAAGTGGGTGAGTAAAGCAGGATAGTAATGTTGCAGAATACAGGGTAGTCAGGTACTTGGAGCTAAGTGGTCAACATTATAAGCGAGATTTCACTCTGCCCAGCAAAAGGCTTGCAAATTAGACTAGTATTTACAATACCCTGAACGTAAGTGACTGAGTCGCGCTACAGCTTACTTAACTACCAACTATTTCATTTAGTGTAGCACGCCTTCTTGCGAATGGCCAGCTCAATTGCTGGGGCAGTGGAAAGACTTCGCTACCACCAGGCGCCATACAAAAGATATTATTCGGTTACATGTAATATTGTGAGATTGTGAATGTGTCCAAATCTTGAAGATCTATGTATACATTCATGGCTAGTCGACAGGTATTAAGCTACATAGTTACTATTATTTAGTGAAAGCATCTTGAGCGCAGCTGGTATCCGACATTTAAATTTTCTACATTGACTTATCACCTCAAATACTGTTACATTTTTTACTACAAGTGAAATTTGAATAGTGGCTAAAGAATTTCAAGATACTACCTACACCCAAGAATAGAGATGACACTGGATTATTTTCACAATGAAATGCCAAATGTTAGCAGACGATATCAAGATGTCAACTAATTTCGATTTGAAGTATTAGTAATGATAAATTGGTAGATCAGTGAATGAAAGACAGGTTTGAAGAAATTTAGAATTTCAACTGACGGCGTATCAGGTATCTTTCAAGATACATAAGCCAGAGACTTGATTTTGAAGAATACTAAAGATGGCAAATGAACTTTCATTCTCATTTTTTATTAGGAAATATAGCTCCACCATTTTATCAATAACGAAAATATCCAAAATGACCCTCTCAAAGTGCATAAAAACTGTATGTTCTTATTTAACGAAAAAACTCCAATCAATAAAAAGCTGAAATTTACGAAGTGCTAGAAAAAAAATTACGTCATTGAGTTATAGCAAATGTAGTTTTCTAATCCAAAAATCTGATTAATATGTGACTCAAACGTTTGGTATGAGTGAAAGTCTACACATTGACATTGGCAATTAACTCCCAAACATATATTTTGCCTTGAAACCCATTATTTGTCTTTAGTCAAAATATAAAAAGTTTACCAAAGGAAATGAATATAGAGGAAATAGATGAACCCTCCACAGAACAATGAAAGAATAATTAATGTTTGAATTGAGGTTATATTTTAGTAGACACCCCATAATTTTTGGTATCACACATGATGAAAAGGATGTAGGAGATGTGGACAACGGTTAGCGGACACTAAGCAGGAAGCAAGTCAAAGATTCAAATAACATGATCCCCAATTTTATGTATTCTTGAAATTAGGAATATTCAAATGAGCAAAAATTTTCCTACGTGAAATCGCCTAACTATTGATTACCTACCTATTCATTAATTTTGAATACATTTTCACATCAACAATATAGAAAACATGTAACATCTTTGGTACCTAAGTATATACAAGATTAAATAGAAAAATAATTTATAATATAAAATCCTAACTTGATTTGTTTAGAAAACAACGTCTTTACTCCTCCTCATTGAATTTTCATCACATCACAGTATGATAGTTAAAGCAATAGTTTCAACATCGTATTTTCTAGAGCTATACACAGTCACATTCTTTCAGCAATAAGCCTGTATAGGCTGTTGCTGGAGATATTTCAAGAACAATTTTGATTCTTGGAGAATTTCATTAACTTGAATATGGTGATGGTGTTGAAACACAGATGTTCTTGAAATACCATTTGCATGAAACAGCACGTCTTGTGCAATGAACCTGTCAAATCCAATAGAAAATACGTTGAGTTCACATTCAGTAGAATATAGACATTTGAATTGTGAATTCGAATTGAAACTTCGGTGTACACCAAACAGATTTTGCATTGAGTTTCTCATGAAGTGTTTCTGTGGAGTTCGATATATAACGTTGATGATAAATTTCGATGCTAAACTACGACCCTTAGTTAAAAAATTCTCTTGTCTTTATGTATTCCATTTAATTTCACTAAACTACTAACAGAACACTTATATGTCCTTATATTATCATTCGCTGAACATTTTCTTGATATATTTGATTTATTTAATGAGACAAAATCATGAAGAAATGATCTGTCGCTACTGGATTTGACTCCGATTTCAGTGCATATAGCATCAAGCTTTTCTCAGGTACAAGTATACTGAAATTATTTGAGAGGTTCTCACCTCAGTATTAGTTGAAAAAAATTATTTTTCTGAGAAATTATCGAGTTTTTGTAAAGGTCTACTTTAGCATAAATGCATAGTTGTAAAAGGCTCAGTTTGTCTACATCAGTTGAGCAGTGACTTCTATGCATCTCAGAGGCCAAGCTAGAGTGACAGAAACAAAAAATTTGAAATAGATCCTGCTGTTTTTGATGAATATTATTCTTCTGAAATCATAATCATTATTTAGTGACAAATTGTTATTAGTTACTTTTGTGAAGACTTGAACAGTCTGTGTACATCAATTTTTTTATTATTGAAAATATGAGTATTAATATATTATGAATACCTACATAGAGATACACTTATTGATTACAAAATACAACAAATGAAATTCCCTAAAGGTTTGATATGATATTTCAGAGATTTCATGATATACTGGAATAATGTTTACTTTGAGAAAATGTTCTACGTTCTAGATTGAACTATCAAAACTCAAAAATTTATTTCAGAAATGTTATGTTTGGCTGAAAGCAGTTATGTGGAAGTAATAATTCTTTTTAGCAGTTAGTCCAGTGTACAACCTTCAAAACTACTGACTTCTTGGAACTCAGTTAATTTTTGAACATCTATTTACAGAAAAGCAGTTCCCAAAAGAGCCCATCTGAATTACAAACTAATTCCTTCCAACTCTACAATCATGAAAATGAACATGTTTTTATGACATTGGAATTATTTGCCTTTAGGAGTATATCAGCCAATTTCATTTAGACCAAATAATTGAAAGCATGAACAGGGCCGTCACTAGAAATATTTTTGGGGGTTCTGAAGCTATACGATTCCAAATTGAAATTACTCTTTCCCAACTTCAAATTATCAATTCAATACATATTTAACATGAAGTTGTTTGATTCTTGTAACTCATATTATGATACGTTGTTATTAATACGAATATCATCATAAAGTACCAAAAGCCAAGGAAAAACGATAAAAGAAAGGAATCGAGAATGGTTGAATCGTTCATTGAACGACAACAAGTGACAAGGTGAGTGTGAAGGTAGGTGTGAAGATGAATTTTGAGTTGGTTGCACTCTCCCCCCTCTCTATTCCCGCTCCACATTGCCAACTGCCCACAGCACATGTTCCTACTTCTTTTGTACATACCCTCTATCATATGACCACTCTCATCTAACTGTTCATTTTTGTTTTTCCTGACATTTTATGTACTGCAACTTATAATAATTATTTCAGCTTTTTAACAATAAATTCATTTTTGAAGTATTCTGATCTTCAGGTGATATATTTTGATGAATTTTCTCTTCTAAACTCAAGTCAGTTCATGAGTAGTCAATAACAAATCCGTGGGAAAGATTTATGGTATCCATAAATGAACAAATTTGTTGATTTGTTCATTGTTTCAAAAACGCTGAATTACACAATTAGATCAACTGGTTATTCCAGATTCTCAACATTAAGTGAACAATTGCAAACATTCTTGAAATTTGTTGTAGGGATTCGAAGTGTAGCAATATTATATTTGCGATACATTCCCCAAAAACTACTGATAGATTATTAGTTTAGCACATGAAAAGACGTGTCAGAGAAGAGAAAATTCATTTCATGATACTGGAGTTCTGTTTGTACGTAATTCTGTCGATTGGCCTTATCTACATAACAATTTCTGTTGAAAAGTATGTAGTTGGACTGGATTCATGATCTCAAATATACTTTTCAAATTTGTATAATTGCTACTATATAAAAATTTTGGCCTAAGCAATAAACAGACGGGTTGCCTCCACTAGTGGTATGGTAATAAGCTAAGGAGTGGGGCAACCCTTGGCCGCAGTACTAAGCGAACCTGCGTTAACACCAACGAAATGGCACAGCCCTGGGTCTATCAGCACCTTCTTTTACCAGCGGCTTATGAAACTCCCGTCCAGGTCTTGAGTGAATGGTAGCCCAACAGTGCTCACAATAGTACTGAAAAAAAGCAATTATAAAATTGTAAAATTTGTGCTATACAATAATAGAATCAGTTACGTTCTTTTACTATCATTATGCATATGGACTGGATAGAATATTACTTGGAAGATCGGAAACAATAAGCAACGTTAAACTGACTTTTTTTTTCAACCCCGATTTCCGTATTTTATACCGCTTCAGGGATATTTGGAGTAGTATTTCAAATATTTGAAAACAACAAAATCATTTAAATCTTCCTGTGAAATATACAACGACAAATCATTACCACCATCGTGGTTTGAAACTTATATAAGCTTAAAAAGTCAATGATCTAGTTATTCATTGGTTTGAAAATCCAGTTCGCTACTCCAAATGAGTAGAGGAAGTTCGGAACAGCAAGCATATTCGTAACAGCAACTTTGTTCTTCCCCGACAGTTCTATTGACCAGATCTGCCGGAGTTTGTGCTGATACTTGCCGCGGAGAGAGTTCTTCACTGCCGTTACGAGGATGCAGGGTGCTTCTACAACTTGCACATCCTTTCCTTAGTCCCCGCATCGTCCTCTTTCGAGATGGACCGTTGTACATTTGTCTATCCCGAATTTCTTACCGAGTGCATGCGTGTACTCTTCCACCACCCTCAAGTACTGATGGAGATCCTTCTCTCCAGAGGCATAAAGTTCAAGATCATCTATATAAAACAAATGGGTGAACTTGTGTCACTGGTTTCTGGGGGTGCCACAGTTATATCCTCGGGTATTTCTGAGCGCAACGAATGATGGCAATAGTGAGATGCAGAAAAGAAGGCGACTGAGGGAATCGTCCTGAAATAAACCTCTTCTGGACCCACTTTGTTTAGACCCTAGCACCTTTTTAGGTGTGATGGAGAAGCGAGTCCACCATAGTGGTATCAGTTGTCAAGGCAACTCACTATTTTCTCGGGTATACTAGGCATCTGAGCAAATGCAAGATGAGCTCATGCGAAATTGTATCAAATGTAATCGATCCAGGCCATAGAAAGGTTACGCTTATATTGTATCGAGTCCTGCGTTACACATCTATCGATGAGCAGGTTCTCTTTACATCCAGCGACTCCTTTCTTCGACCCTCTCTGCTCATATATCCGTTCGAACACTCGGTCAATTGCGGTGAGTATTCGTGTGTATAAGATGCTCGTCAATAACTTATAACCCGAATTTAAGAATTATTATTATTATTTCCCGTGAATTTGAGTATAAGTTTTTGAGATAGATTACTTGATTGCAATGATTTTCTCGAATTCTTGTATATGCGTGTGATTGGTATATGTCGATTGTTTTGTAGTTCATAATGTGAATGTAGCAATGTAGAATGAAGAAGAATAATATATTAGGTATAAATAACAGTACGGGAAAACACTTCTTTTTCTGTTGTCATTACAAAGAAACTATAACGATAGATAACAAAAGTTAAACCAATGGGTTCATACTCCACTGAAACGCCTTTTCCAATTTTCATTTGTCTATAGTTCAAGAAAAATCGTTTGCTCACTTCGTCTCACCCTGTAGTTTTCCGTTTTTCTAAAAAATCGATTCCACACATTGCGGCACGTGTGCGCAACTCAGGTGAGCGATTTTCAATCTGACGCCCTTTTACTACTACCAGGTGTCAATAAATATCAAACATCACCGTAGAGGTTTGGGTGTGAAGGTAGTTGAGACCCTAAAGGGTCCTTTAGGGTATGTTCTCCGTTATTTTATTGGCATTTAATATTCTGCCTACGTGACAATCTCACACTAGGAGCATAGAGATGCCTTCAACGTATTTTCGTTGTCAGTTATGACACGTGCCCAGGGCACTAATATTTGAACGATTTCAAAATCAACGGAAAAACCTGTCTAATATAAAAACTATGAGTTATTCGTTAGAAGAAACCGACATACAGTTGGGTCGACGACAGAATATACACATGCGTCATCAATAAAATAAGTGATAAAAACACACTTTTATGTAGAGGTGATGACATCTATGGGACCGACAGAGAACTCAATCCTCGAATATCAAAAAAGATAAACGAGGCTCCCCGAAGCGGACAATTGCAAAGCCAAGCTGCAAGGCAACTAATCAAAACCAAAGCCAAAAATGAAGCATTCGCGATCCGAAATCAGACAGTGGTATTTCGACATGCCCCTCATCAGGCTGAAATGAAATGCATTACTGGACTCGACTGTAAAGGCAATGACATCTCCTTTTACGAAGACGCCCTCTATGGGATCAATAAATAATTGAATCCTTGGATATATCAAAGATAAACGAGGCTCTCGACTAGTTGCCTTGCAGTGGAAGATAGAGGTCGATGTTGAAGCTTGGCTTTGAAGGGAAAACCTAAAAGCTGATGTGAAAGCCATAGAAGTCACGGGAAACCACTATACAAAATATAATTAAATGTTTTTTCTTCGTTTATGAAGAGTTACCTTTCCAAGGAGTATTTCCACTGTGTAAGTTCATAATTTATTTTAATTTTTGTAATTTACATAAAATCGATTTTCATTGCTCGTTTGGATGTTATTAAACTTTTTTAATGGAATACACAAATTCAGAATTGAATACGAAAAGTCAAGTTAGGAGAATAATATAGGTTGGAAATTTCAAGATGAACTGTTCCTACCATGTTTCCAAAACTGTGGAATGTTTTGTATCAGCAAAATGTTCAAATGCAATCAATTCATATAATAAAAGTGTAGCTAATGTCTGTACATGGAAGATATTTGAAAAAAACTATTATTGGAGGTCTAAATCAACGCAATAAAAGCCAAAACTATGATTTTTATGTGTTTTGTCCATTTGCCTGTTTGTACATGTGTGCATACTTATCTCAGAAACGGCTTAACCGATTTGGGAAAGGTATTCACTGATTTATTGTAGTGAGCTTCATTGTTCGATTCATTTCAATCAGTTCATAAATAAAAAAAAAAACATGAAGGAATCGTGTCAAACATTTCTTGGGAAAAATACTATGAAACATCTGTTCAGTGGATTTGGATTTGTAAAATGATTATCTCATAAGTCAGAGATATGCACGTAGAGCTTGTAAAGTTTAAGAAGAGACTTGTGAATTATCACAACCTGTGCGTTTCTTTAAAGAATACACTTTAGGATGGAAGAGGATGGAAAATAGCGCTATTATACACTACGGGATTATTTATGCAACTGAGCGATCTTACGTCTTCTAACGCGCATCTAGTGAACAGGACTATGTCTAAATTCAAATAGCTCTTCCAACATTAGACAAGCTGTACATAAGAAAGTTTTGCTATTAGGGATAACATAAAAACTGAAGCCAAGCGTACGAGCAACAGATAGTTCTTCAAAATTGTCGATAACAAATGTACCAATTTTGACAAAAATTACAGGGGCAATAAAGGGATAGCCAGCTGTCATCTCTATATGCACGACAATTCTTAGCTAGGGTAAGAGTGAGTCTGAAGTATGTGGGTCTATCTCCATCCCGCGAGATTTTATTGTGGCTAACACATCTTTAAAAGACTAAACTTCTATATACGAGCTAAGGTTAGCACGTTAAAAGGTATATAACAAATATATAATCAATGTTACTTACTTGTAAACACGTAACATTGGCGCAGAAAAAGGGTGCAAATTTTCCTCCGCACCTTTGCCCCTGGCACTCGTCGCACATTTGGTCATCCAGTACATACGGCTTGACTTCCACCCTTTTATCTATGTCTCCATGCTGCAACTGGACAAATCTAGCGCTGATGGCCGCAATGTAGCTTTGTTGGTTGCTGAAAGCTACTCTACCAGCTCCTTTCGGATATTTCAACTCCGGGTCTGTATCGATCCCAGCGTAGCACACACCACCATAGAGCCTATCCATGATCATAGCTAGCTCCACTGAAACAAACGAGATAACTTTTTAGTGTTCAGAAGAGTCAGCATATGCGGTCTCGGCCTATATCCATCGACATAAAGCGGCCCTAAGAGTGCTTCATTATCACCTACGGCACCTCCACGGTATTGACGAGACCCCGATGTTGCCTTATGCTACGGGAGATATTGTAACTATTCATTCCCCAACCTCAGGTTAATAGAGCTATCGGACTGAGTCATGGCCGGTGGGAGAAATCGTATCTTCGTAAAGTTTGGGTTGGTGTATGACAAAGAAAGTATTAGGAAAGAAAAAGGAATTGAAACTTTTGTTTGAAATTTTACGTAAAACGGATCAAGGGGTAAATAATAAATGGATATTAAAATACCATTTTGGTTCTTGTAGATATATAAAAAGCAGTCATCGAACATGACAGCTGTACAAGCTAATAAGCTTGATGTAGTCCAGCTCGATTATCAAAATACGACGATATTCGTCATCGGATGCGGAGAATATCGTATGATAATAATCTTCTCGAACTCCGCATACTTCACCCAGACCCTCTGTTCTGTATCTCTGTATTTGTAGAGTAGGGAGGCTGAGTGTAGACCCACAGCACTTAGGCCACATGTGACCCATTGTACATCCTCCCGAGGAGTTGTCCTCCTAGGTCATCGTCCTTCCTGCCCTTTCCAGGAAGGTGGACAGGTCACTAGGAGACATCTCCTTTATATTGGCAGATGTAGGCCAAGACTCGCCGCTCTGTTTGGCAACCTTGAGGTGTCTCACGGTGACCTCCGCGAAGGTTTTGGAGGGCGCGGCCTTCTTCAACCTTCTTGTGCTGTGGAATTAGCCGCGGTGGTAGTGCGCCCGACTCAAGATCGGAAGGCCGTGGGCTCAATACCCGCCTCGACCAGATATTTTTCTCGATAGAATGTATCTGGTTGAAACTGGGATGATTCTGCAACCGTGTTAGGAATCACACGTTAAAAGGTAAGGTTAAAAGGTTAGTCCTTAGCTCGCACAAGTTTCTCAACTTCTGAGAGTTGTCGTTCGTATGGGGCGACAGCTGATTAACGGATCAACGGAAAAACAGATTTTAAACAGATTCTTGGGGTTCCCTCCGTGGAGGTGCACGAGTGAGGGAGCTTTCCTGCAGGAGCAGCCGGTTCCAAACACAAAAACAGTGAGAAAAAAACAAAAACCAATCCCGAGGCTGGACAGAAGTGCTTACCCCAATCTAAGGGGGTGGCTGGGGATGAACAGAAATGTCCACCCCAATCTACCGCTTGGAATGAGGCTGGACATAGTGAATCACCTCGTGATGTAATGCAAAGGCCAAGGCGTAAGAGCATTTGCGTTGCTGAGGCCAAAAGAAGAGAGCAAAAGAGGCAGGAGTGGCAGCAACTATAAGTGCACCCTCCTCCTCCCCCACTCCACCTCCAACAACAAGGGCACTTCCTGCGGCGGGCGCCAAGAGCTTCGCCTTGAATAAAGCTCCCTCATTTGGAGGAAACCCCAAGAAGGTTGAAGAAGCCGCGCAACGACAGTAATATCGCTGCACCCTCCAAAACTTTCGCGGAGGTCACCGTGAGACACCTCAAGGTTGCCAAAGAGAGTGTGTGTTCGGCGAGTCTTGGCCTACACCTGCCCATATAAAGGAGATATTTCGATATCTCCCAGTGACCTGTCCACCTTCCTGGAAAGGACAGGATCAACGATGACCTAAGTGCTGTGGGTATACACTCACCATCCCTACTCTACAGATACAGAGAAGTGGGTTAGTTGTAATATGTGTGATTGATGACTTGTTTACTTTCGGGTCAACTCAAAAAATTGAAATTTGGGATAAGGAAATTAATGCATACATGAAGTGAAATTGACAGATGAACCTTTCAAGATGGCGACTGGGGTTTGAAGTAAACTCATAAAAACGGACAAATCTTTTGAAACAACTTATAATTTACAGTAGTTGGCTATTGAAGATCTATTTCTCCTGCCCAAATTAGTTTTCGTTCGTTTGTTGATTTCATTGGTGTTCATGAATGGCGTTACATATTTTTTCCAGAGATATACCCATTACCCTTCTGACTGACCCTCTGTTCTTAGTTCTAAACCAATTTCACGTAAACTATCGTTTACTAAAAATATTGAAAAAATCGCCAATTATGTATGATAACACAGACCTTCGAACCAAACACATTTGACTAGATACATAACTCACTACCTCCAAGGCCAATTGAGAAAATTCATGACTTTACGGTTGTGTTTGAATTATTTTGAATCGCAAGTGAGCTTTGTAAATTCACCTACTTCCAAATCTGTTTTGAAGCGTCAAACATTATTATTGAAATGTTTGAGATGAAAAACAAGTGATATCAAGTACACCCCTCTAGAAATTTGTAATGTGGAGAATTTATATTTTCCACTTTATAATGAAATGAGTGTAATGAGAAACTTGGAATAGCTTTAAGTGACACTAATTTGTGTATATCTTTGTGGAGTAGTTGGTAAAACACCTGTCTCACTGACAGATGATTTTTTAATTTTTTTTTGACCACAAAATTTTCTAACTATTTGAAATTGAATGAATTAACAATAATAGGAGTATTTCTGAATGATTTTTATGTTGCTTCTTATTATGAAATTCAACGATATCACTCTCATTCGGAATATCCTTCACACATGAAATATACGTCATACAAGTCATAGAGAAAGTATGGGATTATACTCGCGAGAAATGACCATTACTTGCTCAAATTATACGTCATTCTCATGAGTAATAACCACATTTCTTGCTCGTTGAATAATATACTAATTCCTCAAGTCAATTAGCACATGCTGATATACATATATTCTATTCTACAACCACGCTGTTAGCAGAACATTAATCAAATCGCGATAAAACTCGAATTCAAAATGTTGATTATTTCTCGCAATATTAAACCCCCATTTGCAGGACTCACCCTCGTCTTCCACCCTAAGCGTATGTAATTATATATTCAAATTAGATACAGCGGCGATATTATGCTTGAAACTTTGTTCGATTTGAAAGCCATTATTTTTCAATAGAACGTCGAGAATTTTGTTACAGAAAATGTTTAAACATCGAAAACAATACGAAATGTAGATGAATTAATGGTCAAATTTTAAATTGATTGATTAGGCAAATCCTCAGTCAAAGACGTTTGTGAGAAAGAAATGACAGGGTTGATCAAAGGTCTAAATTTGGTCATTTATTCAACTACTTACGGAGACAGTGAAAAATTGAGAGTGGCATACGTTAATCACGACAAACGACCGTAATTTCAAATACTCGACAAAATACAGGATGTTTCACAAAGTCAGGACATAACAAACACACATATATTCACGGGACACCCGTGATTCCGTTCCATGAATTGAAGGGGTTCAATAATGCATACTGCCGACCCCAATAGATGTCGCTTTTGTAAGAGAAGTCGTCATGGCCACTTCTCACCCAGAATTGATTGTTTTTGGTGAGGACATTGCTTTGGGCTCAGGTATTATCTAGTTGTCTGCAGATAAAGCTATAAACAATAATATATTCTTATTTATAGATCATATCCCACTCGTCTTTGTTTTCCCAGTTGATAGAATTATTTTCTGAAATAATGATTTATGTGAAAACGTGGGTTCCATTCCCGCCTCGACCAGATATTTTTCTCGAGATAATTTATCTGTTTGAAGCTGATTCTGCAACCGTGTTAAGAATCACACGTTAAAAGGTAAGACCTCGTTAGTCTTTAGCTTGCACAAGTTTCTCAACTTCTGAGAGTTGTCGTTCGTATGGGGCGACAGCTGATTAATGGAAAACAGATTTTAAACAGATTTAAACAGATTCTCATCTCGAATTTGTATTGAGAAGGGTCGTATCCAATTCAATTTATTGTAATTGCGTTCTCGCTAGACATAAACCTTTCGACCTCTTCTTTACTAAAGTTCTCCCCTTTTTAAAGAGTTACTTCAAAAAAAAATAACGATTTGGTGTTGGGAAAAAACTCCAGTAATATTCATTAGTTACTTCATTGGTGGATTTTTTGGTTCATTCAATTACGAATGATATTTTTTGACCCATACGGCTGAGGAAGAATAAAAAATGGTGGAAATTTTACCTATTGGAGAACTTCAATAATCTTCTCGACGAGTTTTCCTGAAGATGCCAACTTGGTTGGTGAAGGGCGCGTCGAGAATAGTATTGAAGTTCTGGTATTTGGGAAAAATGCTTGTTCTGGACGGTTATTCAAATTGTTGATGAAGAACGAATCGTTCATACGGAACATATTAAAATAATGTTTGAAGAAAACACAGTTTATCAATTCATAAATAATTTTTATTGTTATGCAATTTTGTGCGTCTTTATAAACATTGCTGTTTGATTAATCATTGCGGTACAAATTACGATTCACGGTCATGCCTTATTTGTTTACTGAAATTATAATGGATAGAAAATTTTGTTTCTCTTTCACGACGACTGGTAGTAAAAACTCCTGTAAAATGTCCTGACCGATATAATGATATACTGGCCCTCTCAAAAACACTGTGAACATCATTGAAGGACAAGAATAGAACTACTCCCTTGCTCTCCCTCCACTATAGTCAGACATGTGATACAATCAATCACTCCCTATTGTGTTACAAACTGCAGCACTTTGGAATTAGTCCGGGGGCTTGTGCGTTACCGAAATCATTCTAATTTGAGAGAATCCAGCTCGTTGTTATAAATGGTAACCAATCCTCCGAACTTTTGGTCCGTTGTGGAGGCCTATAAGGTTATGTTCTTGTACCAATGCTCCTTATTATTTACACTTTCGATTTTTACAAAGTATTGGATACATTCTTCGTACACACATATGCAGACGACACAAACCTCTATCACACTGATGATATAGAAAATCTGATTTTAAACAAACAGACATGAAAAAACTAGTTGAACATTTCCAGAAATCACTGTCTCATTATCAATTTCCTGAAATCGCCATCAATCGTGTTTGGAAATTAAGTC